TCCCCTCCTTCGCGCTACCTCCTGCCTCCCCCTACCTCCTGCCGACGCGGGGGCGCGCCGGCCTCATTCCGCCCCACCCGCTTCCGTTTTTGCGCCCGCGCCGCCCAACCATTCCTTGCGTACCCCTTCACACCAGCCACGGCCAATTCCGTCGCGCCGGCCTACCCCGGACGGCCCCCGCCTCGGTTTTGTGTCCCTACCTGCCGGTTCCCCCACGTCGGCTCGGCCCTCCGCCCCTTGGCCGCTTCGCTTTCCCATGCCCCCCGCGACGGTCGACACCTCCTCCCGACCGCGGTGTCCCAAGCGGTTTCCGTTGGGCCCACGACCGACCATGTAGCCAGACCCTTTGCTTGCTTTAGTATGTATAGAGATTGAGAAGTGTTCGAATACAACCATTCAGAACACACAACACATACAGCGAGACTCACATCGCACTGTAGTCAAGATAGATAGACCCAAGATAGATAGACTCACTGCATTGAGAAAAACGATGTTAATCATGAAGTACACGACTCAACGCTTCAGGCGAAGACCCGACACTGTGTTTCTGCCGGTCACCTGTCCGGCTTCTTCAGGGGCCAAAAGTTCCCGGCGCAGGAGGGGATCATCTACTAAACTGTGGACGCGATCGGGGTCCACTGCCATCTGGATCCGACAGTAATTGTAGTCATATACATGATTTGATCAAGACGGGTGTATGTCCACAGCCCACATTCAGTCGGATCTGGCAGTAGTTGAGGTCGCATACATTCTGGAAAGGGCTAATGAGATTTCAGGCATACCGCCGTTACTCACGAACTGTGAAAATGAGAATGTACATTCCGCTGCAACATAAGAGAATACCCCTCCACCTCGAACACCCATGCAGCGCTCGATACCGGCCAGATGAAAACCTTCCTCAGCTAAGCGGCCCGACAAAAAAGGAAAAAACTTCAAAAATCTTGAAAAAGATAAAACTGCAAGGAATATGAGCAAGAGCGATATACAGAAAACCAAGTTGCGAAATCACACAGATGTCCAAGTAGTCATGTACAAGCAGAGAGCGCAAAGACACCGAGAGATTCCATCCAGATAAGAGCAATACACTGAACTCAGGAGCCAATGTCCAAGTCCTCAGGCCACACCAACACCGTATCCAATGTCGCTCCTACTCTGTCTGGCGCCCAGCGCCCAGCCTACACTACTCGCCTATCCTACTACACCAGCCAGCGTTCACGCAACAGGCTGACTTCGACCTTGAAGACCAATGTACATGACATCAACACCATAGTTGACCTCCCTCATGCACCAGGTATGTATCTCGTCTTTCCTCATCACCCCTGACTTCCCACAGTGGGCATCCTCAACACCCAAAGACCACCATCGCCATCCAGTCCTGCGCCCAGCAACCTGGCTATGGCTGTCGTGCGCCCACTGCCCAGCAGTGCACCTCACACCCCAGCACCCCTGCGCGCGACCCAGCCGGCAGCTTCGTGCAGATCACGAAGTTGCAACGCAGTAGCGTGGCCGCATTGCCTGCCTAGGCCAGAATGCCCTGCCCAGCGATGCTCACTTTCCTATATGGAAAATGAGCTCAGCCTCTGCTGCCTCTGGGCCTGGCTGGGCGAGCATCCAGTAGCTTCCGGTCGGGTCTCAATGCCTGTGTCCAGGCCCAGTTGCAGTTACGGGCCTGGGCCCTTCACAGCACGTCCAGGCAGTCCACGGGCCTCCACATGTTCGCTGTGATCTCATTGGCTCACAGCCACTTTGTGCCGACAATGCTGCAATCTCATTGGTCCGTGGCTGTTGTATGATGTGTCGGCCTCTGAAAGCACACACACAGGGCCTTAACTGTACGGCGCACTGGACTCAACTGCCCGTCGAGGCGGCAACTTTTGGAAAGGGCCTGGAGAGGCTCACGTTGCTGTGTAACCAACTGGCATGCTGCAACTGTCTGATACCCACATATGGAAAAATGTCAAATCTTGGCCTCTTGTGAATATTCAGGCCCTTTTCACTTAGGCGGGCACAGGGCTTGCTGAGGGCCCCTGCCCAGAACATGTGCATGTCTGTTAAGGACCCCGCAAGGGCTCATTACCCGCACATATACAACCCCTTTAGGGTGATCACACTGGCCTGTACCCAGGCCTTGGCACATGTTAGCAGGCCCGCCTTCACTTAGGGCGGGCAAGGCCTTTCCCAGCACTGCCGAGGGATCAAATCCTCGCAAAACCATGGAACTGCTGAAAGCAACCCTGCGGAATTTGACTCGTTGCCTGTGCATCCCGACGGGGGAAGAAAAAGCACACAAAAAAAAGACAGCCTGGACAAACTGGGACATCTGCGGAACTTCGGCAATTCTTTTCGTCTTCCATCCCCGGATCTGTGAATACAATAATCAAAAGCAAAAAAGCATTTTCGGCCTGGGACCCGTGGGCCTGGGGATTTTTTTTTTCATGGGCCCACTGACTCTATCCTGAGTAAGGGAAAGTATCATCATGGCTATGATCCGGACACCCAGATCGCAGTGCAGACGGTCTGGGTCCGGTGTCCAATCCAGAGCGTCCGGGTCTGCCCTCCCACCTGCCCGGAAAAAAAGAAATCCGACTCTAAAACAAAATTAAAAAAAATGATAAAAATGATTAAAAAATCTGGTAACAAAGATATTTTATGCAGCAATATAATACGGAAATCTTTTGGCTGAGGAAGCACGATAGGTGAGTCGGCGTGAATGGTGGTTCTTGGGTGTTGTGGAAGGAACGTTGTGGTGGATCGCGTTATATTCTTTTGTGAGATACGCTCTTGACAGTTTTCTACCAAGTGTGCCCTACTTGTTTATCTGAGGATCATCTCAAAATTCTCAGGCGAATGCGAGGAAAAAACGTTTGTTTGTTTGTTTGTTTGTTTGTTTGTTTTTGGGGGGGGGGG